CATTTTTATTTTAGAAACTTGTTGCTTTCAAAGTGTTCAATTAAATTGTACAGTGATTGACTAGGAAAATGAATACAGGTTATCCTCATATTTAAATTTTACAAACTTAGTGGGATCTCTGTTACGACTATCCTCATTTCCCAAATCTAATGCTGCAAAAGAGAGTAAGACACAGAGCCTCCTGCTTCTCAGGCAAATACGTACCCCAAACTCTTCTAGTTTTAAGTTTTGTCTCTCCCATTTTTCCAAATCAAAACAGGTTTCAAAATGTTTTAATAAGTTTTGATACAATTCTAATACATTTTAATACAATTTTTAATACATTTTAATCTCCCACATTATTTGTTTACTTCTGAGTCTCTTGTACTTTGCCTAATGTGTATGTACTCGTGATATTGTGATATAATGAAAAGTTGCAGATAACCATGTAGCCACGACAGCCAGCATACAGTGCTTTGTGCGGACTACAGCAATGACAGCATAGCACTGTACCAGGCAGCCAGCACAGGAAATGGTCCTTTTAGGTGATAAGAAATTCTCTAGCATTTTTAGACTGACATTTGTGGAGAAATACAGGTCCAGAACAGACAAACTTGAGAGGCAAAAGTACATGGGAGTGTGAAGTCACGAATCGATTTTGATTAAGATAAGCACTGCAGTGGTTTTGTAGACAACAGAGAACAGTATGAACAAAGCAACTTGTAGCTCTGGATGGCTTGTTAGACCCACGAGAATGAATTCTGTCCCTTCTGTGTAGCTTCTTCTGGATATTTCTTTGTCTCATCCGTGAGGCATTGGTTTAATTATCTAAGGAGAATTAGAAAATAGTTTGATTTTTAATTATTGAAACCCTGTTACAATACTATATTTATGAAGAAAAAGTCAAACTGTTTTAATTACATGCACCTCAGTAGCATTTCCATAATTACATATGAAACTGGGGGCTTAACACAAAATTATAAAGTATACTCATATTTTAAAAAATTAGATATGTGAGAGATTAAATTGTAAAAGACATTTTAGAAATGCTTAGAGCTTTGTTCTCAAAATCTTTAGCCATGGTGGATATGAAAATAAAAGTTATATTGTAATCCCACTTCCCCTAGTCAGAGCAGCTAACATCAAGGAAATACAATAAATGCTGGTGAGAATACAAGAAAAGGGGTCACTCTGACACTGCTGGTGGCAAAGTAAATTAGTGCAGTCACTTCTCTGACTGTGACTCTCTCCCCACCCCACCTACCATGAATATCTGGCTCTTTCTAAGTAACTTTCACAGTCAAATACAACAGAGTATTACTTCTTACCACTTGCCTCCCCTTTCTGTTTCCCACTATAGAAAAACACCTAAAAAATTCTCTCTACTTCACGTCGCCTGTTCCTTCTCCACTCCTCTGTGACTTTTGTCCCCAGTGCTTTATGAAAAGCTCTGTTTACATCATGAAGTCTTCACCCTATCCTCCTGTTAACAGTGAACGCTTCACCTGCTAAGACTAAATACCTAATCTTCTCTAGGCTTTCCTCTGACTTGACGGGTCATTCTTTGTCAGATTCTATATGATTCTTTTCCCTGTACTTTAGCTATAACACATTTTACAGGGTTGGAGTAACACTTCACCTGCCCTAATATCAATGAAACTAACAAGTCTAAAAGATTTCTTGGGCAAAGAGATGATATAAGTAGCAATGAAAACAATAGCCATGAAAATATTTGCTGAGTGATTATCTTTCATGTACCATATTCAAATACTTTGCATGTATTGTCTTAATTCCAACAATGGCCCTGTGAGGTATGCTATCCATTTTATCCATTTTGTACAACACAGTTCATTGGACCTTCTGTCTTCACTTCTTATTTTCTTAACTATTCAGTAGTATGGAAGAACCAGGACACAAGTCAGATATCATAGTTATTACGACCTCTGCTTTGGTGTTCTTGTGCTGTGACGTTCTAGTTTCACACAAAAGTCAGTCTCTTCCTCTTTGTTGAATTGACTGTTTGGCTAGAAATAATAACTGTTGCTGGATACCTTAGAATACAAATTGTCTAATACCATCGCCACCCTATTTTGCAATGATTGGTATTGTGGGCTAATGAGGAAAACAAATGTGAATATAATAAACTAAAGTTTTTGTCAAGGTACAATTACTATGAGCAGACCTTCCCCCAAACAAAAAAGGAATTATGAGTTAGGTACATGTACTCACTCCACATAAGGAGTAGAAATATTATGAATGGCAAATATGTACTAATAAACGTATAAAAATAAATCAATAAAGATAATAGATGGAAGAAGGAGAAAGGCAGGCAGGGATGAGCTGAGTGCCCCAAGTATAAAGAGTGGGTAGAATCTATGGCCAAGAATCTAGGATAGTGCTTAGGAACTGCAACTCACATGGTGACAAAGATGACTAAGCTCCTTCTTCGCACTCTCAGCCAATGGGTAGCTGCCCGTTCCAAGATCTACAGGATATCATCGACTTAGTCTCTAAAAAGATTTGAAATGTTACTCAGGTCTCAGTGGACCTAGGGACAGACAGTTTCAGAGGAAAACCTGGTCACACTATTTAAATTTTACAACTTATGGATATAGCTGAACAGAGACAATTCAAAGACAGCTCATTAGCCATCTTTCAGACTGCTGTTGGGACACAAGAGATTCTTAGAGCAAACTTTCTAATGCAGGCAGCTACCCTGACAGTGAGCTAGGAGTCCGTGACCACTTGAGTACTCCGGCAAAAGAGGAGTCCGAATACTTTTCATCAATTCACTCTTGTAAAGGTCTTGAGCCAATTTTGTTATGATTAGATTTAAATTCTAAATACTTGGTTTTATTAAATTTTTTTAATATTTAAAAAAATATTAATTTTTTTAAAAAGGCTTCACTGGAGCATTAGAATTGTTTGTGATATATTGGGTCCTAAGCAAAATTGAGACACTGGAAAATAAAAAAGAACCTTATAAAACAGTACAAGCAAAAAAGACTTTATAGGTCTTCTCATCCAAGCCTCCTAGCTCCACGTACTGAAGCAAAGAGATAGATTCCCCATAGGATTAGTGGTCACAACGATAAACCTGTTTGAGCATTTACTTTAGTTTGTAAAGGTCAGCAAGCTTTCCAACAATTAAGCTATAGCATAGTCTTGAAGGTTTTCCAATTTTTAATTTGTTCTGGATGTTGGTGAAAGTAGACATCAAGAGGTTAAGAAAGCAGAAAATTTAAAACAGAATAATACTGCTACAGGATATATGAAACCATTTGCTGAAAGATCCATACTACAGAATTGTAGCAGCAGGTTTTAGTAATACTGGTAGTTCTACAAAGTGACTCAGTGAGCTAACTCACTTTACAGATTTTCTTTCGTAGATAACACATTGTTATCTATGCAAATCCGTGTCCCAAACTACCTATTCGGACACTTTACTATGTAAATAGTAGGTAGGATGCTGAAGATAATACATACATGATGTGATAACAAAAGTTAATATTCAAATACATGTCTATCCCTACGTGTAAAAGTAAGTGGTTCTTTAACCCACAAGGGCCAAATTCTGACCAGTGTTGGCAGAGTTATACCTGCATTATTGATTTAAATAAATAATTAAAATAAAAATTCAGAGAAAACTCTATTATGAAGATGAAGAGACATAGGTGACATAGGGCCTGGATCATGATGGCAGAATGGTAGCACTTTGTCTTCAATAAGCATGTTGTGTCTGTATTGGAGAAATCAATAAATAGAGATATAATTGTATAATTTGAAATGAGTGAATTCCTAAAGAAAATGATAAAAAGATGTTACTGTTGGGAGATAATGAATAACAAGAAACAGGAATTTCTATAAACCTGTAAAAATATTTGATATTTAAAACTATATACATTTATTTATTAGTAATCATAGATGAATTATTAATAATTTCCTCTAATGCACACATATATGTACAAGCAGAGAGAAAATAGTAAGAGAACACAAAAAGTATCTCAGGGGCTGGGGATTTAGCTCAGTGGCAAAAGCGCCTGCCTGGCAAGCGCAGGGTCGTGAGTTCGGTTCCCGGTACCGGAGAAAAACCAAAAAAAAACAAAAAAAAAAAAAAAAAAACCAAAAAGTATCTCAAATATGATTTCTCTGTGTGTGTTGTGTGTGTTGTGTGTGTGTGTGTGTGTGTGTGTGTGTGTGTGTGTGTGTGTGTGTGTTATTGGGGATTGAATCCATGCCCTTTTTCATGGAGTCAAATCTCCAACTCTTTATCTACTGATTCATTGACCCATTCATTTATTGTTGAGATGGGCCCTTGATCAGCCATAAACTGTCCTTGCTGGATTTGCACTTGCAGGCCTCTGGCGTCATCTTCCCGGAGTGCTAGGGTTACCGGAGGGCATCTTAGTGTAAATGATTATTTGAGAAGTGCAGTGTTCACTGTTTATGTTATGTACCGCAGTGTGCTGGAAGTTCGTGCATAATACACTGTGTGTCTTTAAAGAGATTGTGCTGTGAAAACCAGCAAACTCAGTCTATCATAAGAACTGATAGAAACAAAGGTTATTCCTCAGCATTTTCCATTTTCAGTATGAGCGGACTCAGAACTAGTTTCCCATGACTTCTGACAGTCAGCCACCATCTGAAATGAGCAGACCACTGTGGAAGAGAAAAGGAGGCCAGCAAGCGCTGTATTTTCATCAGCAGTCTCATGCTCATCTCAGAAGTAGCACAAGGGAAGAAAATCTAGTTTTCAAAAAAGCAGCCCTATCTGCCAACTTAACCCAAATGCAAAGCTGTCCTGTGCATAAAAGGCAAAAATACATAGAATAATGCATGCAAGCAATGAAGGAAAACTAGAACCATGTAAACTTTTGTAATTAAAATTTTATTTTAGGTATTTGGCTTTTAGAAATGAACTGCACCTCTGCCAGTGCTGTTTATCAGTTTTCCACTCATTCTGTCTCCCAGCTTCAAAAAACACATCCAGAAAAACATCCGAGATGAGAAAAGTGACTTTCTTAGGAAAATGCTTTCTTCCTTAAAAGCTGATTGGCCAACGCTTCTTTCACATCTTTATTTCTAAGGCTGTAAATCATGGGGTTTAACATGGGAATCACTGTAGTATAAAATACAGCCACCACTTTTCCTTGTTCCACGGATTCCTTGGATGGGGGCCTCAGGTACATGGCAAAGAGGGTCACGTAGAATATGGAGACCGCTGTTAAGTGGGAGGCACAGGTGGACATCGCTTTGTGTCTGCCTGCTGCGGAACGGATCCTCAGGATCGCACGAAGGATGTAAAGGTAGGAAAGAAGAATGATGAAGAGAGAAAAGGAAAGGTTGCATCCGGCCACAACAAACATGGATGTTTCTTTCTTGGAGGTGTCAGAGCAGGCCAGCTCAATGAGTGGGGGGTCAGCACAGTAGTAGTGATTGATCTCATTGGGACCACAGAAGGCCAGGCTGTAGGTCCACATGGTCTCCATGAGGCCAGTGAGTGCTCCATACACATACGGCCCCAGGATGAGCACCACACACACCCGCTTGGACATCTTGCTGCCGTAGAGCAGAGGGTTCCCAATGGCCATGTACCTGTCAAAGGCCATCACGGCTAGGATGTACATCTCCACATGCACCAAAGCAATGAAAAAGTAACACTGGACCAGGCAGGCAGGGTAAGAAATGGTTTTCTTCTCTGAAAGGAAAACCTCCAGCATCTTCGGAGTCACATTGGAAGAGAAGCAGAGATCCACAAGGGATAAGTGGCTGAGGAAGAAGTACATGGGTGTGTGGAGCCGGGCGTTAGCCAGGATGAGGACAACCATGCCAACATTTCCCGCCACGGTGGCCACGTAAACAGCCAGGAACAGCAGGAAGCAGAGGATCTCTAACTCCCGGAGATCCGTCAGTCCCAGGAGGACGAACTCTGTCACCGTTGTAAAGTTTCTTCCCATAATTTCTTTCACTGGGAAATGAGAACTTTAGTGGAGCAGTACAAACCCCTTATTTAACGGCAAAAATTTCCATATTTTCTTAGTACATTTTGTGCTTTCATCTTTGATTTTTTTCCTTTTCTGTGACTTAATTATGCCTCTGCAGACATTAGAATGCATGGTTTAATATAAACAAGATCTCATTAAACATTAGCAAATACTCAAAATGGGGACTAGAATTCAATCGATTTGAGCTTTAATCTTTTTCTATTAATTGACCTCTTTACTATTTTTTGCATTAAAACTTTTGGTCTAATACTACATTTCTTACCTAGTTGCCCTTTTATTTTGTCTGTGTTTTCATTTTATTTAACCTCATGCTAATTTTCAATTCTGATATTTTTCTATACGATTGGAATTAACAAATGAAAACTCAAAACTTCATCTAAATTAAGTGTCCAGGTAATAAAAAGGACAAAATACTACAAAGGAATTTTCTTTCCTGATAACATTAATTTTTCCAGGTTATGCTAGAGAAAATCCTTTAGCTTCTTTGCTTAAGGATACCCAGAGATAAATTTAAAAGTATGTTAATTCATTATTTATAAAATGTAAATGCAACATGTCCTATTACACAATGAATAGGTGCTATTTGGAAGAAAATAGAAGAAAAGATAAATACATGAAAAGTTGAACCATTATACATCCTACAGGAAATCTTTCAGAAAGTCTAACATTCTTCCAGGCAATTCGATCTACATGAAGCAATCTGAATTTTTCAGAGCCTCTGCCCTGAATTAGTGTGCAGAAGTGACTAATTTTAGCATGTTAGTCTACAACTGTGAAATCTGAGCTAGGAAAACAGCGTGATCACCAGAGAGGGATTTGACCCAGTGGACTAGAAGCCAACAGTCCCCCCATAAGTGGGCACATGTTTGCTCTTCAAGGGTAGACCAGGACTCTACATCTCAGCTCTTGGAAAAAAGAAAAGGAAAGCACAGAGAAAAAACAATGACGACAATAACTTTCTCTTTCTTTATTTATTCTCAAGCTGTATTTGCTCCAGTGAAATGGCAGGTTCTGGCTGAGAGACTTTTTATCTTCCTGTTTATGACATAGACTTGCCCCAACTTTGCTGGCCATGATGGGGACACAGTGATGAGCCCTCCTGAATCACAAGAATAAGGAAACCTACAGATAGCAGAATAATTAGGCTGAATTAGCTGGACCTTCTTCCCTAGTCTTGCCAGACCTGAATTGGCAAGCCAGCTCAGAATATTTTACAAATGGAAATAAACTTGAAATGAATCCAAAAATTCCCTATGTGTTGTTGTATTATTCTGAGTCATTCACTTTTACCTGGCTCCTAATCTCAAACTCTGTTCTACAAGTCCATGTTTGTCTGTATCCACATTAAAATGTTTTATAAAAGTAAAGGCTTTGCATATAATAGTAACCATGACCTTTAGAAGGATAGTGATGCTCTCTCTCTCTTGCTCTCTCTCACTTTTTCTGTCTCCCTCATATCTCTCCTTCCTCTCCTTTTACTATATATGCTAATCTCCTAACTCTGCATATTGGCTATACACATACACATGTAACACACCTGTGTATAAACATGCATGAGTACATGAGCAGACACACATGCATGCATACAATTTGTTATGCTAGTGTGCACACACATATTTTCAAGAAGGTAATAGGTATCTCTCTATCATTTCCTTCTTCCCTCCTATACAACACTAGATCATCATGTACACCATTCTGCATATGCATATAATGTCCCCAAATCCCACCTTCCTTTAAAATGGTCTACCAAGTTATGTTGGTACTGTCCAAGACTTTGAAAACGTTGCCGTCAGATGTGTCTAGTAATCTCAGCAGTAACATTTGTCTTACAAGATCAGTTCAAAACTTAGAACTTGATAGATTTGACTTAGAAATTACAGCTACGCTAGAGATTCTCTCCAGATTATAGACAAAAAAAGAACTTTTGTGAACAGTAGGATTTCTTACCTTAAAATATTGTTGCAGGGGTTTTCCTTGAGGGTCAAGTTATAATGTATGTAGTGATCTAACAGTGTATGAAACACATACCTATGTCACAGGAAGCTGCAGTTTCTCTTTCTTCTTTGTTCAGTCTTTAGAACAGGTACAAACTGTTGGATTTTCAGCATTGGTCCTGCACATATAACCAGCAGCACCCTTTCTGTGCAATCATTTAACTATTTATAATTACATGCTTATTCCTTCCAAGTGAAGGTTTGGATTCCAATTCTAAGCGACATTTTCTCTAATTCCTAACATACATAAAAAAATATAGACAGCCCTACCCGAAAGATAAAGAGAAATAACCCAGAAAGAAATAGGGAGAAACTGTGTGCCTTCAAGATTAGCAGCGGAGATCAATTTGCTTATGTTTATAAGGTTGACTGCTTTTCCCAATAGAATTTTTGAAAATGAAGATGATGTCATCAGTCCCACAAATTAAGAGTTCCCTGAAGACAGCTCAGACACTTCTTAGCATGAGAGGTAGAAATGATGTGAGTGTCACCTCTGGGTCTCCTGTACAACCCTATGTAATGACCTTGCTGTTTTCCCTGTGTCGCTGCTGATCCCATTCCCACTCCACCTTCTTACCTAGCAGAAAGGCTGCATTCTTAACAAAGAAAAATGACTTCACTCCCTTTCCCAGGATGCAGCCTTGGCACATTCTATATGAAGGAATCATCCTAGCGGATGCATTCATTTCATATTTTGTGTTTCAGAGGAAAGGCACAAACACATGCACAGAAAATACTTTTATTTTGCTATCAATTCCTTCAGTGAGACTCTGTTGGCTCACTATATTTCTGAGATAGAATTTAAGAACAGAGGGATCTTTTCTGTTGCAACAGAGTAGAAAATTTTACATCTGCCAGTGAAATACAAACATGGTGATTCTACATACGCCAAAGCTCATTCTGAAGGTGCAACTTGGTCCATGTAAAGCTCCAATTTTATACGATCTGAGTAACCACAAGATGGAAACAAACAATGAGGCTCTGTGTGCTCAGCTCTAAGGAAAACAGATGTGACGCTCCACAAGGCTGTGCATGTTGGCAAAGACAGCCACGCACACGCGGCGCACTTTGGACTCAAGGCTGTAGGTGCGTGGAGGACGAACGGCTGTGTGAATGCGGCAGCCACACTTCATGTGTAGCAGAGACAGGGACAGAACAGGGACAGAGCAGAGTACAGGGACAGAATCCTGTGCCAACAGGAATGCAACCACCTCATACTCTTCGTATATGTTGGGTAAAAAACAGAACTTTTCAAATGTAAGTTGAATTAGAATTGGTAGGCTTTGAAGATTGCTCAGGAGACTTCGTGCATCTGTGGTCTGTGTTTCCAAATTTTGCACAAATAAATGAACATGTATGATTAGCAACAACACAGAGAAGACAAGCTGAAGCGCTGGGCAACTGATCGACCTCAGGAGGCTAAATTCCTTCTCTCGGCTCTGATGGACTCTGAACATTTCCAGAAGCAATCTTCTGTTTAAGGAAAAAAAGTAGACTGATTATACATGAATAAATTATGCACACTGAAGATGCCATCAGTATAGTTTTTGTTTTGTAGAAATATCTCTTTGCCTTATAATACTACTATTATAATCTCTACTTTCTGCTATCTGTCTACGTATCTCTATCTGTCTCTCTATCATGTCACCTTTTTTTAAATACAAATTAGGCACTAGGATCATAATAAAAAATAATCACTTTCAAAACATTGTTTCTTGGGGCTGGGGATTTAGCTCAGGGTCACAGCGCCTGCCTGGCAAGCGCAAAGTCTTGGGTTCAATTCCTGGTACCGGAAGAAAAACAAAACAAAATCAAAACATTGTTTCTTACCTTGTGGGATATACAGAGTCATAGAAGATGCAATCATTTATTATATTCAAAATAGATAGAGAAATGTATAAAATAAGTGGAGTGAGTTTTTAGTTAATAATTAAAAAGACAGTATCTCTATGCATTTCTGCTTTTTTTGGAGACAAGGTGTTGTTATGAAGTTCAGGCTGGCCTTAAACTCACTTTGTGGCCCAGGTTGGCCTTAAACTTGCTGTGATCCTCCTGCCTCAGCCTCCTGAGTGCTGGGATTACAAGTATGCCCCATCAGGCCTGGAAGTATCTCTATGCAATATTTCCATATCTCTGCTATTGTCATTCAGAAGGGAAAGACTCTGAGGCAGAGTAAGATTGAGTAAATCCCAATAAATTCGATTTCAAAATTCATGCACTTAGTGTTAACGCCGCTAATAAATGACAGAGTCAGAATCTGACCATAAAGCTCATTTATTAAACAGATTGAATTTGTCTATACACTATGAAATAGGATCTCTCTTCATCATGGGTCACAGTTTTAGTTTGTGAGCAGCTGTCAAAGACCTGATCAAAAACACCTTTGAAATACAGAAAATGAATTGTATTATTTATTTCATGGCTTCTTCTTTAAATAAAATATAGCGTGAAAATGTATGTTATAATGTAGGGAACTACAATAAAGTTTGAAACCAGACAGATACAAACCTCCCTTTTGATCTTTATGATTTTAGGTTAATAATGAAACTGTGACTATTTTCTCATGTTTAAAGTGAATATTACAATACTGAACCCATAATATTGACAGGCACCAATATATATTAAAACAATGCATGAGTTTTGATAAGAATTATTTCCTTCACTTTTTTCATGTGCCTCTGTCAATGTCTAAGCATGCTTCACATAAGAAAGTATTTGTTATATCAATAAAGATGTTAGTCTCATACAATTATAATTCCCTAAGACATTTCTTAATATGCAAGGGTAAGTTTTCCTTAAAGAAATAGCAATTGAAATGATAACCACTTAGTTATGTGGAGGAAATATAAACTAGTTTATGATGATTATTTTTCCAAAAGAAAGCATCATTTAATATCTCCCAATTTGTTCTAGATTCTTCCCTCATCATATTGTATGATTTGCTCAATAAAGAATCCAACAAAATTCACTTTAAAAGGAGAAGCATTTGAACTTCAACTTCTTCCTGAGATCTCTCATAGCAGACTTCAATAAGGTAGTTTTTTTATTAAAAAAAAAAAGGTGTTAGTAAGGAAATAATACCATAAATTTTAGATAAAATTCAGGATTTACTGAAATAATTTATTAAAGGAAAGATAGGGCGCATCTACTTAGCCTGTGTCCATCACAGCGCGGTGTGAATTGTAGGTGGTCAACGGGCTGATGTCTTCATTCCAGCGGCCCCGTCTGATCTTCACAGCACATGATGTAAATTCTTATTCATTTTAAGCTTATGCGTATGAGAGCATATATGAGCTTAACATTTCCTGCTTCAGCCGTAAACTTCAAGAGCATTTTGTTCACTCATATTTACTCCTGAAAAGTGCTGATACCTTATGGCTGATAATATATTTCCTCAGAGCCATTGCTTGGTCCAAGATAATCTTACCTTTCCTAGAGCAGAAGCACTCATTCTCCTTGACTGTGAACATCTGTTAAAGATTTTGCATGACAACCATTCCTGAACTTTTATTTTGTGTTGTGCTAGGCTATAAACATTAGGCCTGGACCCAGTGATAAAAAACTGGAACAAAAAAGGGGCTGGTTCTGCAAAAATAAATATGTGTGGACGGTTAAAGAGCAATGCCTCAAAGTACGTGTTTTAGTAGGATCTAATAGATGCTTAGATTTATAAATTTAGAAGAATAGTTCTGTTTATATGTACTTTATAAGCAATCTGATTTCCAAATGTAAATATTTAGATGATAATGTAAAATTGAAATAATTAAATGGAATAATGTACAAGGAGTGAATGTGAAAATGGAACCCTGTAGAAAATATTTAGCAGAAAAATCAACTCCATGGCAGAAAGAAAGTTTTGAAATACAACTGAGAAAAAGTGTGGCTACTGTGAAGAGTGACCAGTTATACTGAGAGGCTTTTCCTGTCTAATCGCAGGTCACGTCCACATCTGCTAGCACAGAGTGGTGACAACAGACGCTCTGATCTTCTCTCTGGGCTAAAATGACATTGTACTTGAAGCTGTGGGTGAGCCAGGGAGGGTGCATCTCGGATGGACAATTTTGTGTCTTGCACAATCTCAGGACTGGTTTCAGTTTACTCAAATTTAATTGATTTTCTTCTCTGGTGTTAGCATTTTTGTATTCTTGCATTATAGTACACAAGCAAGTGTATGGCTTCTTCTCATTCCAGTTTCACAACCTGTACAAAACTATATCTTATTCTCCTGCTATTTTGTTCTGAAATTTTGTTTTACCTTTCTTCCATACAATAAAAAATAATGATACAAAAAGAACTATATCAGTGTAGTTCTCCTGCTAGAAATAGTATGTAACTCACGGAGATAGCTCAGTCAATGTTTGTCAGTTTTTCTTATATTATGCAGCTTCAAAGTCCCCAGAAATCTTATGTCTTTAAAATCATCTTGTCATATTTATCAGTTAGCATTAAAATATCAGAAATAATATTCTGCATTCTAAAATTAGATACACAGTAACTCATCAAGGCAAGGAGGAGCGGCAGGTGAAATTTGAACTGGGATACAAATAACAAATCAGAGATCCCTGTGAAACATAGCTTAATAAAACAAAGATGAGAAAGGCATGCAGTATTGTTCATTGTAAAAATGTTGAAAATCGCTGATAACTGCTGCAAGAGTCACAGTTACTTAAGGACACCCATATATTTGTATAAGGGCTTAACCCAGAAATGAATAACTGAAATCAACCAGTGTTTGAGGCTCTGGGATTCTGCTGTGATAGAGGGAGAAAAGTACCTTAGGGAAAATGATCCTCCAGTGGAAGAAATAAGCAGATGTCAAGCATGGAAGGGAAGGTGTTAGAATAGATTTTCTGTCCTGTAGGTGGCAGCAAGTCTCATCAGCATGTGGGGACATTTGCCAAAAACACAAATAAAAGCCCTACATAATAAATCTAGAGCATTGCTAAAACTCAGGCAGCAACAGCAAGGTTTTTAAAAATTTTTGCATAAGTATGTATATGTATGACCATATATATGTTTTTTGATATACAAAGTGTGTTTTCTGAAAAGAAAAAAATGATAATAAAGTAACTGCCAAGTGAGAATGTAAGATAAGGGGTGTGGAAAGAAATATTTTACTCCTACATTGTACGCTTATATGGAGGTCAGATATTTTACTAAAAATGTATAATTTTTATAAGGACCATGTATAAAACTTCAGTGTAAAACTGTATAATGATTATTTACCACACTGACATATATAGTGTCCTGCTCTGCATGGTATTTAGTGGTCATATGCAATTATAAAATATTTGTACCTATGTATTTTATGTTTTCTTGTTATAGATTTTCATCATGAATATAAAATTAACTTTACTTATACATTCTATTAACCTGGGTAAAGTTCTCATAAATAGATCTTTAACTTATAAATAAAGATGTTCAGCGATGTTATTTGGAGAGCACATTTCTTCCAATCAGTTTTCGAAAAGCTTGCTTTACATCCTTGTTCCTTAGACTGTAAATGATGGGGTTCAACATAGGGCTCACAAACGTGTAGAAAACAGCAATGATTTTGGACTGTTCCACTGACTTGTCCGTGGGAGGTCTCACATACATGCAGAACAGGGTCCCGTAAAACACAGTCACCGCCACCAGGTGAGACCCACAGGTGGAGAAAGCTTTGCGCCTGCCCTCGGCAGAGCGCATCCGAAGGACAGCAATGAGAATGAAGAGATAGGAGATGAGGATGATGAGGAGGGAGCTGGACAGGTTAAGCCCGGCTACCACGAACATGGAGGTTTCCTTAATGAAGGTGTCTGAGCAGGAGAGGCGGATGAGAGGGGGGTCAGCACAATAGAAGTGGTTAATGATGTTAGAGCCACAGAAGGTCAAGCGATAGGTCCACATGGTTTCCATCAGGCCACTGAGGAACCCGTAGACATAGGGCCCTGCAATGAGGCGAGCACACACTCCCTTGGACATCTTGCTGCTGTAAAGCAGCGGGTTACAGATAGCCATGTACCTATCATAGGCCATCACAGCTAGCATATAGTATTCCGTGATCACCATGGCAATGAAAAAATAGCACTGTACTAAGCAAGCAGCATAGGAAATGGTTTTCTTCTCTGATAAGAAGTTCACCAGCATCTTGGGAGTGACGTTGGTGGAATAGCAGAGATCCAAGCAGGACAAACTGGCAAGAAAGAAGTACATGGGCGTGTGGAGGCGGGAATCCACACGGATCAGGACCATCATCCCAAGGTTCCCACCAACAGTGATCAAGTAGATCACCAGGAACAGCACAAAGAGAACGGGCTGAAGCTCTGGACGATCGGTCAGTCCCAAGAGAATAAATTCTGTCACCAAGGTCGAATTTCCTGCGATCATTTTCTTAGGCACCAGCATGTTCACTTAGGTGAGTTAAAATGAATTAAGAAGGTGAATCAGAAGTCTAGCGATTTCTTATTTCCTTTCGCTAATTCCCTGTCTCTCCCTGTATCTTCAATTCTCTTTCTCCCACACACTATTACGAGAGAGAGTCGGAGAAGGTAGGGGCAGGTTGTCTTAAGAAAGTCGTGGTCTCAGTGAGCTTGATGTTCAATGTTCAGGTGACTCCTAAAGGGAGCAGCTTGTTATTAAGACTCGTGCCCAGGTGCAATCTTGGATCAATGGCAATGTGTATTTGGAATGCATTTTTGTAGTTACTAATAGCAGGTGCATATTTACAAGCTTGATCTTTGAGAATTTACCTCTCTAGGTGCTAAGTTACCCAGAATTAGAAGGGCCTGAAAGAATTTCCCTTGGGTCTGTTTTATTACTATATCTGAAAGAGTTGGAAGCAGGTTACTTGTATGGGAGCAGAACAAAGATTCTCAATTCTGGGATAACAGAGACTTACTAGGTGTGAATTACTGTGTGTGATTTACTGTAGAAGAAATTTGGTGAAGGGGTTTGTATGATTAAAACAAGAAGACTTGGATAAAGGAAAAAGAAGTAATCAAATCTTTGATGCTAATCTCATTTGCCCATTTATTTACTATTTTTCATTTCTCCTAGGAAGCATTTAAGGGTTTCACAGCTTATAACAAATGTTGGCAAATTTGTGCAGCTAGTGAAATACAAAGCTGACCCTCAGCTTTCCAGCAGTGTGTACAGATAGTTCAGCCCTCTTCATTAGAGCTATATAATGCCTAGAGTCACAAAGCAAAGTTAAGGGAGATAGAACTCTTCTTAGCATAGAGTTCAGACATAAGTAATTACAGTGAACAGATTATACTTTCAGATAATAATACCAATTCAGAAAACATCAGTTAGAATAAAAGATTTGCAAATTGTTTGGCTGAGATCCTGAAGAATATATTTTCATCATGAATTCTCAAATTGTATTTGCTGATGATACACACAATGAGATAAGAGACCAAAACTCCACTACCATGTAGCTAGTAAGCATGAGTGAGGTGGATGGGGTAAGAGTGAAATAAAGGGAACTAGGAGTGCTTCCAAGTGGACGGTCAACAATGGGAAAGAATTTTTGTTACGTGATTATATGCAGTTCATGTTTTAAGGCACTGATGGCAAACCTATGGCACGCATGCCACAATGGGCACATAGAATCCTCTGTGTCAAAACCAGAGCCAAGTTGCCCCAGTCAAACATTGAATAACAGCTGTTTTTCTTTTTAAAACTAAAACTTCAATAATGAATTTTAATGGCAGCGTTGGCACTCTGCCATAAATAACCGGGTTTGAGCACTCAGCCTCAAAAAGGTTTGCCATCACTGTTTTAAGGCCTTAACAAATTCCAATTTTAAGTGTCATTATGTCAGGTGAAATCTAGTAAAACTAATGTGGCACTTAATTTTAATTTTAAATCCATCTTTTACAAAGACAAAAATGAGTCTACAGATTTTATCTAGTATGATATAAATAACAAGGACATGTAATGCTAATGTCACCAGCTGTAACCTACCAGAGCGTGAGCTGTTCCTGGAAATTGAATTAAATATAAACGTGAAGTAGCTACTGTCACTCTAGGATACTTTCAGTCCATGGATGATTTAATTTTTAAAATAAGATAACTTTTCTCAAAAAACATGCATGCAAGTTCTTTTATAAAACTATGAACAAAATAAAAATAACGTCTTGAAAGTACTTGCTTTGATAGACCCAATTAGTTCTCCGCATGGGAAGGAAGGTAAAATTTACAGTTCAGTGTTATTAGTTCAGTAGAAAACTTGAATAAAATTGTCTCAGGAATTAAAGTAGGCCTCAAGGAATAGCAACATTTTTAAATGGGATGTGAACAATAACTAGGAATTGTCTATCCAGACATGAGTGAAGAGGACTTTCAGGTAATGTGAACAGAACATACAGATACTTTACTCAGGAGGCTTTCATGAGAAATCAAAGATATTCCACATAGCTGCAGGCATGAATTTTATAATGTGACAAATAAAAATTTTTAATGTGGGAGGCAGTCAAACAATCTTAACATCCCAGTCCCTTCTACCCTGTGATGAGAAAGATTGTTCATTTATTTGACGTTTATGCACACAGCAACATGAATCTGCTATGGCCCTTACCATTTCCTAACTCTTAGTCTAATAGAGAATGTAACCAGCTCATGTTAAAGCATCAGAGAGACTGCTGAATCAGCTTTGTGGTAGTCATGAATATTTTGTTCTTTTATGAGAAATAACACTCAGAAAAGTAACTAACGTGCAGGGTAGAAGGAGATCCTTGTAGGGAAAGGTTTTGCTGTGACACAGGTGTCCTATCTAAAATTTCTGCATAATCAGGGCTCAGTGTACATCATAATGAGTTATTATACTTCAATATTTATTATAACAACAGTTGATAGAAATGAAGTTCTACATGAAATTTCACTGGCTCAAAAATGTCACATCGTTTTTCTGTGGATTAAAATAAATAAAGGTAAACGAGATGATAAAATTAAAAGATTTGGCCACTTCAGTGATTTTGATTCACAGTTAATATACCTCTACATATGCTTATTTTTATTATGTGACAATAAAAAAAACACCTCACACTGATTACCACTGCGTGATTGTGTAGTTTCTATTATTGGGGGAAAAAAAGAGGTACCACTTACTATAAAGTGGTAACCAGTTGCTTAGCTTTGAGCTTAGGGATACGTTATCCTCTTCAGGCTCCAGTCAAACATGAATGTGTGAGGTAACACAGAACTGCTGTGATTGCTAACCAGCCATGTGCATACGGTTACCTGTGTATAAGGCATCATGTAGCCCTTCAGGATTGACTGTATAGGAAGTAAGAAGAAATTGAAGCCAAGGAAAAGGTCAGAGAAAATAAAAGCAACAGAAGTGTAATTTCACGAACCGACCTCAAAAACCCAACTCAAGTGGGCATGAAGACAGAAATGTATGCTAGAATATCCAGACTGCTAGTGGGACCGTAGGGTAGGAAAGGAAGAACAGGATGAATGTCATGCGAAGCTCATGTGTAGTAATTTTTAAAGGGGAAAACACTTTCCTTTCCTGTTCTGCCTTCAGGTACTCAAGCCTCATCCTCATCTGCTGAGCTGCCATTACTGTGTCTCTCAAATACACGAGCAAGGTACATTACTGAACTACAACGCCTTCACTTGAGTTACGAATCATGATCTCCATTAAGGCTTCATATTTTCTATGTGGTCAATAAAACTTTTGTTCAGCCTTCACATAAAAAGTACTTTCTTTAACTTGATATTGTGATGTTGTTTATGGTCTTTAGCAGCCTCCTCTATTTAATGTCAGATTTCACTAATTTCTAAAGTCTCCATCACTTTCAGCGTCCTAATTTTTCACTTATGAGTTTGTGACCACTGGTTCAGTACCTCTTAGGGAATATTAAATTTGCCCCCCAATTTTTTCTCCCTGGTCACTTAAAAAGAGGTTTTCAAAAGTTCTGAGTGTTTATCTTTCCCCAGAATGAATATAATTCTGGTTTATTTGTCTCATTTTTCAACAAAAGTGTTGCATCTTGTTTGCCTTTTTTTGAAGGTGGGATTGCTCTTTATACAAATACTATAAAAATATGAATAATATATTGTAAAATACTAATGTGTCTTTTCAATACTTGAATGAATGATTTCCTCTGGGATGAAAACTATCATAAATACATAACTATTGAGCAATTATATTTTTAATGATCAGTCTAAACAAGAAACACCCTGACTCATTTTGCTCGGCTGAATACCAAGGCAAGTGCCACAGTGGGCTGCTTGTGTCACTGAAAGCTCTCGAATGCTCGTCATCACTGATCTAGGGTGACATTCAAACCATTTGTAGTGTCCCTTGACTGCTACTGATGAAGATTACAAAACAAAAGGAGAAAATATGAGTCCAGAAGACACTGTTCTCATCCTTACCTGACCCCAGGAAAGATTCTCTCAGAAACACTAGCGGTCCAAGGGAGGAACTGCCAAGAATGACTTATACACGCTTGCAATTGGGAGATGCATCCCTAGTGTATTTTTGAACACACCAGGAAGAAACAATTACAACGTTACTACAGAAGATAACTCCAGGGAAAATGGAATAATTGGAATACACTTTTACCTAGTAGGATCTTGGGGTTTGAGCAATGTGATTACAAGTTTGTAGTCACCTTCAGTTGGTTGCTGTGGGCGATTGGGAGTTTATTCTCACAGGATTACTGCATTATAGGTCACCATTCATTCTTCACAAATGGAACAACTGAGGCAGTTATACAATTTTGACACATACATGGGTTTTGATGTTTCAGTGATTTCTTCCAAGTGTTAATCTGGTGTTGTGCAAAAACTTTAAAAAATTGCCAGAATCATGTGTTGAATCTATAAAATCTATTGAATTAAATAGTTTGAACAAAATCACATAATGTTACAGTAGATCTCGTTCAGGTTCTCATGTTTAAATGTTGGGAAATAACCTTTTATGGAAAATCTGGTGATTATGGAAATTAGCAAGGCATTATTTGTCAATGCATGAAATTAAATGGGACAAAGAACAAAATACTGTGACTCCAGTTCCTTCCCTGTGCCAAGCATTTAATTTCAATTCATCCAGCAGTCACAAATACCAGCAAGGAATGTCACGTGTGTTCAAACAGTATTTAGTTCCATTGTGAAGGGAGGGAAAGAGACACATACACGCTTCACATGAGGCACATTCTGCGTATGATATACCACTGCCATCAGAGCTTTAGCTGCTTTTCATAGACATCCTCACTGCCTCTCACTTTTTCTCTCATTCACTGGTTTTCTGCCACTTTTTCCAAACTTGACATCCTCTCCAAAGTTTTATCCACTAATGTGAAATCTATTTCTCCCAACTTCCCTCCAGGTATTATCTACCTTTTAGATGTGAGCTTGAATGTGAGCCCACAGGGATGACTGCTCCTAGC